TGAGTCTGCTATTTGAGAAATGAAGAAATTGCTATAATTAAATAAAACCAAACTTCTGACACAAGTAAATGAAATTTGCAGCCATTGTAGCCTCTCCAAAGTAGGTAAAACCTGCCAAATTACAGGCAAAGAGGTCCAGGGGCTTTTGTGCTGAGCACTTTTAACATTTGATTGATTTATTATTATTATTTTAAAAAACACAGGGAAGGGTAATCCCACTGGTGGTGTATGGTGCAGGAGTGTGGGGTCGGGAAAATGTTGTCAAGCTAGAAACCATTTAAAATTTATTTGAACCACCCACAAGGCATAACCTTGCTGTTACAAGGTTAAAATTACAGAGTATGCGAGATGCAAAGTTGCCCAAAATGTGTTATTTGGAACAAATTTGCAACAGAGCTGTTCAAAACTGGGTAACAAATGCAAAACCTTATAACATGGGCAATCAACCCAGTGAATAAGAGGTATGGGAGGTGGCGGGGTCTATTGCAGCATGCCCAGGACAGAAAATTGTCTCATTCAGACTGTCTGACCCAATCTGACTATCTCACTTTTCATTGCTGAACCACAGCAGCTTGTAGAAAGGAAGGTATTGCTATCTCCTTCGCCCCTCTGGCTGCCTGGTTGAGAGTTGTGTATGAAAGGGCTGTGTGCTGGGCTGAGTGACAACATTTGGGTGTTGGTGTCATGGGTAATGTGGCAAAATCATTGGCCAGCAAATTCATTATTGGTAAGAGCAGAGTTTCCAGGGACACCATAGGCATATCTATGTATTCTGCAGCATCAGTACCTGTTTCTGCAGCTCTTGTTCGGTGTTTAACTCTGCTGCTGTTTGAGCATAGGATTGTGTAACTATTTTAAATTGGTGTTAAGCTGGGAGAAGTGGCTGCCTGGTGTACCAGTGCTACAGGGTTTCTCTGTCCCTGTGAAATATTTTTCTTGTCGCACAAGTGTTATTATCACATGAGCATTTTATTGAGAATATTAAATTAACTTTTATTATTTATCATGTGCTCCCCACCGGAGAAATGTTCATTCACATTTACTGGCAGCAATTTCAGGGAAGGCTATTCAGACTGGTGTCAATTAGAGATAATTCTCAGCAATTATTTTCATTGCACACTACCTCATTTTTTTGTTTAAAGGGTGACTCCTGTTCCTCCTTTCCGTATAAATCAATGCACTTTGTGTTTTGACAAGTAATGTTTAAGGCTTTGTCCCTCACCACAAAGTATAAAGCAGGATCAGAAGATGCCATTTTTATAACTAGCAGTTTAGATCAATGCTATGTTTATTTTTTTATACAGTGCATTGTGTGTGTATGCGCGCGCACACGTGTGTTGATGTGTGTGTTTGTGTTTTGGGGGATACTATGCACTTTGTTTACTGGCAGCTGATGACATCAGAAGTCCAACTGAGCCAGTGTGGTGTAGTGGTTACGAGCAGTGGACTTGTAATCTTGTGAACCGGGTTCGCTTCCCCGCTCCTCCACATGCAGCTGCTGGGTGACCTTGGGTCAGTCACACTTCTCTGAAGTCTCTCAGCCTCACTCACCTCACAGAGTGTTTGTTGTGGGGGAGGAAGGGAAAGGAGATTGTGAGCCGCTTTGAGACTCCTTAGGATAGTGATAAAGCAGGATATCAAATCCAAACTCTTTTTCTTCTTCTTCTTGTTCCTATGGAAATGCCCCCAGGTTTTTTTCCCCCATACAACCGAAAGTTTTACATACTCAAAAATTCTATTGCTGCTAATTCTGGAAAAACATACAGGGAAAAAATGGTTTTCATTGGGTTTTTTTAAAAAATATAAGCAAGATAGTGGCAACTTGCATTTCCGTCATATATTATCTTGAGTTTTTATGTATATCTGATGCCTTTCACTCAATGAAAGACTATGGGCAGGATTTCGAAAAGTCTCCGTAGAATTCAGCTCACATCAATGCTTGGATCCTAAGTTGCTCCTTCATTTACATTAAGAGGGAGGGAGAGAAAGCCCACCAACTCCCCCCCCCCCAGTCTGCAACTCCCACACAAAAGGAACATAAAAAGAGACTGCTGGTTCAGACCAATTACCCAGCATCCTGTTCTTACAGTAACCAATCAGATGCCTGTGGGAAACCTGCAAGCAGGACCCAAGCACAAGAGCAACTGGTACTCAGAAGCATACTGCCTCTGACTGTGGAGGCAGAGCATATATTTGTCTATATAGCATAGATATCGCCAATATCTCCATACCATTGCCCAAGACCCCACAACCTTCAAACAAAGGTTTTCAAAAAGGCTGCAGAGGAAGGAAGACAGGAAAAGAACCTTTTGCATTCATGGACAGAAACTTAAGATCAAACCCAATGGGGCTTCCACCTTGCCCTTCCTGAGCGTCAGGGAATTAGCTGGAATGTAGGGCAGGAGAGGGAATGAGCAAAAATGGGGAGGAGAGAAATGAACATGCTTTTAAATGCCTTCCACATGCTCAATGGACTGTGTGGATCCCAGTTCAAATATCACGTGCTGTAGCTGTTTTCTCTTGCCCTTGGTAAAGGGTTTACCTTGCTGTGAACCAAGCACAGCAAATTTAGCCCAATGGAAAATATTACAAAAAGTAATTAAGCACATGGGGAGATGAAATTAGAAGAGAAACAGGAAGCTTCCCATGGAAAATGCTGATTCAGGTGTAGTTCAACTGCAGAAGAGAAGGAACCTCCAGATGTTGCTGGACTCCAGCTCCCATTAGCCACAGTCAGCATGGCCAATGGTCAGGGATGATGAGACATGGAGTCCAGCAGCATCTAGCCAGCCACAAATTCCCCATCCCTGCATTAGGCCACAGCTATCCCAGGTACAACACATGCATTCAACTACTACATTTTGTCACGCAATTGCCAAGATTATTATAAAAGTAATTTTCCGCCACAGCATAATTTGACTACTGCTGCTGTACTCAAAACACATTTAATACACATTCTTTCAGTTCTCTTTGAATCCATTCACCAACCCATCAATTCTTTCCCTGAAATCTATTTACATGTTTTATTCATTGTGTGAATCTTTTATTTATACATGTCCCTTTGATGCTAGCATGCTTTGTCACAATACCACATCTGTATTACCAGTCTATCTATCATTTATTATTTCTCATAGTTAACCAAGTCTTTCATGTCATTCCTTCAAGAATGGCCAAAACATTACTGGGATATATTTGTTGATACTTTGCAAGGCCTAGAAAATTATTACATAAGGGTGTTTTTTTAAGCACTTTGCTTTCTAAGAAGTACATTTCCCCCCAAACAGTAGTAAGAAAGACTCAGAGTACACTCAGAGTAGACCCATTGAAAGTAATAGATATGATTTAAGATTATTGGTTTTAATGGGCCTCTACAGTGAGGAGAACTTAGCTGGATTCAACCAATTTCTAGAATTGGAACTGTTGCAGTCATAATTGAACACATTGCCTCCAAAACAATTTCCAATAGTTCATAGATAATTCACATGATGCAAACGAAAAATAAATACTTCCACATTCTTAACTGCTATTAAGTTGGTTTTTCCTCCCGACTAAACTAGGCATGAATATATTTCTGATGCTGTATAGGGGGAAATCTACAACTGTAGCATTTGTTTTTAAAATAGGGGCCCAGTAGCACCATAAAGAGAGACAGATTTATTGCGGTATGAGCATGTCAGTCTTTCGTGGTGCAAAGGACTGGCACAAGACATTTTGCTGCCTAAGAAGAAGGACAATATGGCACACATATCCACTTTTTCCACAAAGAGAAGCCAGTTGAACTGGACATTAAATCTCATGCCAAAACTGATATCCAACACAATATTGATATTGTTCACTGTTTTATTTCATATTTTTGCAAGCTGCTTAGAAGGTTGTTGAATGAGAAGCGTGTACCTGATTTCTCTCCTCCCTTCCATCTGTTCAAGTGGAACAAGTGAAATGAGCTCTGATGACTTTCCCACTGAAATAGGAATCCAGCATTTCTACTCATAAGCCCATGATTTCTATAGGCTCCAAGATGGCAGAGGTGAATGCGTGGGAATCTTTGACACCCCCCCCCAAAAAAGAAAGAAAATGTATTCAGACTTAAATAAAAGAAGTGCATTCTTTTTATTTCAGACTGGTACTATCTCTCCTGCTTCAGGATTGTGTGTAGCTTCCCCCTCTGCCCCATTTTCCACCTCCTGTTGCTTTATTTTGCTCTTCCCAATTAGGTATTCTTATAAAACTTGAATAGAAAACCAACAGCATTTGCAAGGGAGAGGCCTTCACATCCAAGACAATGAAGTGTAGCACATTTTGAACTTTCAAACAAACTGTTGGCATGGCAACAGAAAGCATTTACCGCTAGAAGGAAGAGATGACAATGGGGGATATACTGTATGCTAAAATACAGCACTCTATATGTTAGGAATTCTACTGTTTGGTTTTTTTAAAAAAGAGGGATTTGTGTGTGTCTATAAATCCTCTTCAGTCAATGGCCTCAATTAAAACCCTTGTAAGGCAATGGTGGTGAGGAGACATAATGCCTCGTTCTTTCCTTACAGAAAATTAAAAATAATTTTTTAATGCCTTTGTGCCCTAATAACACTGCTGGTATGCATTCGTAAAAGCAGGCCTGACTCTTATCTTTCTCTGTTAGTCAACAAGACTCCCACAGGGCAGCCAGGGCAGCCAACTAACACTGGTACTAAAACAGCAAGGAGTCAGAAACGGCATACTAACTATATAAAGTTCTTAGACATGAGGACAGAAAACCTAGACATTTATACACTTTTTGTATGGAGGATTAGCAACAATAATTCCCTAATAAAAATGTGCCGCTGCTGCTGTAGCAGCAGTGTTAATTAGTGGACATAATTTCCATTTTGCAATTCACAGGAACCAGCACACCATGTTGCACAGGCTGCTAGGCTTGCATGTGTGAAGGAACTTGTGCCTGGGAATCAGATTGGGAGCGCATCTATGGAATAGGTCACTCCCCCTCCCAAAGCTGCAGGGCCGTGGCTTCGTGGTAGGGCATCTGCCTCGCATGTAGAAGATCCCAGGTTCAAACCCTGGCATCTCCAGGTAGGGCCAAGAGACACCCCTGCCTGAATCCCTGGACACCTGCTGCCAATCTGTGTCCACTGAACTAGATGGAGCATTGGTCTCATTCAGTATAAGGGAGCTTCCTATATCCCTATTCCCATAGCTCAGGCTACTTGAATTCTCAAGGGACACTGTGGGACTAAAATAGTACAATTGTGATTTTGATTTCTGACTGCTCACCCGCATGAGCTGCAAACGTGCCATAGGCCTTTTTCTTGTTTCTGACCAATTCAGGAAAAGGAATTATAATTCTCTACAGGTTAAAGGCCTGATAACGCATACCCAGCAGGCTGAAAGTGAGAAACGAGCCTCAGGTTTTGCAGCTCCCCCAGCAGCATATCGGACTTTGAATATCAGCAAGGGAGCACACATAGAAATTCCTAGACACTGCTTATGTTATTCATCTGCAGCGGGTGGGGGAAGGATGAGGACCTACTTGAATAGGAATTGACATGCCGTGGCCTTGGCTCACATTCAAGTATCTAGAGTATATGCCATGTCCTTGTCTCCAGATGTCATGGACAAGTGACTATTAGCAAGGACCTCTTCAGAGGCAGGTCAATAGGAGCCTTTTGCAGTGACCTGCAAGACTCCCACACTGGTTCAGTCTGAGGGAAAGCACTTGGGGGATGTCATAAATAATTGCAAATGAGAGCTCATAAAAGTGTGCTCCATGGTTCAGTTTCCCACAAGGTTTCCTCCGTGACCTCAGAAGCTGTTATTTCCCTCTTCATCTGCCCCCCATAGAGCTTACCCATGTCAGCAGAAGGGGACAGTGGCTCTCTGGATCACTTGACTGCAGAAAGGACTGTCTTTCCTGGGAAGTTTCATTTGGAACAAAGATATTGTTAACTAGGGTGGCAAAGAGGAATTGTTTGAGAAGTGGGGGTGCACTCAAACTTGGAGAGAAATTGTTTGGCCAACAGAGAACAAAGAAAGTTCTGGATTTATTTGACTGAAGAAAGCACTGTCTTTCTTTGAAAGCTGGGAGGGAATGCAAGGGCATGCAGTACTAGCTAGTTACTGAATTCAAGAGAAAGCAAAAGAGTGTTTTCTTAAACCAACCTTCGGCAACCTGGTGCCCTCCAGACTTACTGGACTCCAGTTCCCAACATCCCTGCCTGTTGACCATATTGGATGGGGCTAACTGGAGTTCAAATTCAAATATGGAGGGCAGACCCAAAGTGTGACCTCTTGTGAATAGAAATTTCCATTCGGTATTCTCTTCCAAACCCAAAATGTTCTACAAAGCATCTTGCTTTCTTATCAGGTGTCTCAGAGACCAGCATAATGCTAGAGCTTCCCAGAACTATTCCAGGCGACCACTGATTCATGTTAAGCCCTGTATGCAACAGTGAGGCTGTGGCAAAATCCCTACCATGCTGAACTTTGGAACACTGATTAAAATTAAATGCAGATTGGTTGTCCTGTTCTGCAAGTGTGCCCTATCTAACATGGTGGAATCCAACATTGTGTGAGCAGACTTCCACTCATGCAACGGGACTTTACCATCCTCTCCTTCCCCTGCAGCCCCACCCATCTCCAAACTCTGCATCCTCCATGATTTTGAGACACATGGATGACTGGAAGGGTGAGGAGTGAAAGGCAAAGTCCCAGCGCATGGGCAGACACCTATTCTGCTTGCACACCAACAGTGTTGGATGAAACCTACATAGTGCAGTTGGCCTAGAAAGTCCTGTTGCCCATGTTTCTTCTTCGTTCCTTGTTTATGCTACATTGTGGGAATCATTGTGATCGCAGCCTTAGTGGGATATATACAATGCAATGGATAATCTTAAAGGGATATATGGATGCATATTTTTAAGGAAGCTGCAAATTGAAAGAGGGCGACATGGGTCTCATCGATTATTCATGAGGGATTAATCACACACTCATCTTTTCCTGGTATGTAATTGTGTGGAGAAAAAGCAGCTGTAGTTTAAATTTCAAAAAGTTGTGCAGGAGTGGTGCAACCAGCAAGAACAAAGTGCAAACACTGACAAAACCTTTAAATGTCATTATCTTAGCTAATGATATGCCCCAGTTTATAAAAGGGAGTTCAAAGGCACTAGTGGGTGTTGGTTTTTTTAGGGCAAAGTAATCCCAGGTGGTACAGTTTTATATTCTTCTGTCTCTTCAATGTTCTCTAAAACTACAAGCTTTTTGCTTTGTCTTTTTCTCCACCAGGCATTTGCTGCTACGGGACCAAGGTGGTTTCTTCCATGGCAGTTCATTCTGTTTTCCTGACATTTCCCTAACTGTTAATTTCTGTATGATATTTGAGCTTTCACACAACATAAAAGCCACTTCCAGAAATGTAGTGGAATATGATGCAAGTTTACTACTCATTTCTGCATTATTTGCAAGCAGACCTTTCTCCTGGAAGCAAATAACAGGGAAAAGAGCTGTATTTCTGCAAATGGCTTTTATGTCATGTGAAAGCTAAAATGTAATGCAGGAAGAAACATAACTGCTGTGTGAATGGAGTCCATGACAAGGTTGGGGCATAACCTAGTTCTAGACTAATGAGTCTCCAACCTTTTGGGGCCCAAAGACCCAGCTAGAAATCTAAGAAATCGATGTAGACACCACAAATAGCCATTTCACAGGAGAAAAAATTGGCAATACTCAGAAACCACCACCACCTCAAAAAAACCCACACCAAAGCAAAAACACCCATACCTCCAAAAAACAAAAAGCAGGCATCACCCATAAGCAGTTAGCCCCCAACCAAGCAACTGAAACCCCTCATACACACACACACACACACACACACACACACACACGGAAGAGGGTACATGAGGAATCCCAGACCTAGACTATTCTGCATGCAGAGCTCAAAATGGCTACTACAAAATATGCTTTTAACCTTCCCATTTTGGCTTTGTTTTGGCCACAGTGATCAGTGATCTGCAATGTATATGCAACTATTCCTGGTAAGCAGAGACTTTCCTGCACCTCATTTATATGCACCTGGTGGTCTGCTGTTCCACCAGCTGCCACACGTCCCTTCTTCTGATTACCCAGGCAGAGCAAATTATGCCGCTTCTGGCCAAACACATCCTAAGGACACCCCAGAGTGAACATTCTTCCATGGACAGAAGTTATCTAAAAAATATTTAGGAGTGCCAGCTCAGAGCTTCCCCAACCTCACCACCACCTAGCACACCGCATCACCATCCTGCTGTATGGCAGCTGCTCCCTTACATGCCACTGCTGTTGTGTTATACGAAATTGGTATAAGTCCAGCTTGATGGGGCTGCCTAGTCTGGGACAATCACCTAAGGGCCCCCCTTCTATGATGATCTGCTGTCAGACTGAAGGGAAAATACATTTCCTATTTTTATTCATTCTTAAAGTGCGTGCCAGCTTTCTACAAAAATGATAGAAAAGTGTAACTTAAAAAGAGGACAAAATGCAATCTGAGTGCAAAACAAAGTAACAAAACCAGCAGCAGTTAACAAGAAACAAGCAGCACTTTTAAAAGGAGATTACACTGGAGAAAATTAGGAGCTAAAGGTGTGTACCCTTCTCTCCTATCATGCCTCCACTTTCTTTTGGCAGCCTTAACCAGGGTGCTGTCTAAAACCAATATTTGTGGCTGCTTCTGCGGTTAATAGGGAACCACATTTGTGGTTAACTGTTGTTAATGCCAGTATAACACAAAACCACAGTTAAAGCAAGGCAGAAGGATTCTAATGAGAGACTGGGCGATTGTATGCATGATCTTGCTGTCCCCTTGTGATGTTGTAACCATGGTTAAGATGTTGAGAATGCTATATCCACACTATGCCTTATCCCAGCTGTTGCTAACCTGATGACCTTTAGATACCATGGATCACTTTGTCAGTTTGGACCAATTCCAGTGGTACAGCAAGCCCGCAACTTACATGGGAGTTACATTCTGGGAATCATACCTAAAGCTAAGATTGTGTATGGTCACAATCCCATTGAACCATTGGGTTTAATGGCAGGTGGAATTGGCAAAATCTTGTTTCCCAGATGCCCACCCCCTGTTTAATTTTTAAAATATTTTTGCCAAGCACATAAATATGAATGCCCATGAGTTTAATGTGCATAAGCTGTGGTCTTACTGTATAAAAACCCCTGGAATTAAGGGTATTGATGAAAGAGCCCAAATGTTTCCCATGCTATTACAGTGGTACCTCGGGTTACATACACTTCAGGTTACAGACTCCGCTAACCCAGAAATAGTGCTTCAGGTTAAGAACTTTGCTTCAGGATGAGAACAGAAATTGTGCTCTGGTGGTGCGGCGACAGCAGGAGGCCCCATTAGCTAAAGTGGTGCTTCAGGTTAAGAACAGTTTCAGGTTAAGAACGGATCTCCGGAACGAATTAAATACTTGACCTGCGGTACCACTGTACAAAACTGTTTGGAAGAATCCTAGCCTAATTAGCTATTTGGTCGGGTGCAGAGCAGACAGTCAAACTGAACTTGAACCAGGGGGTGTTGCTGGGGTGACCCATACCCTAGATCTTTTGCATTAGACTATGGCTATCCTAGGGACGAGGGTGGGACTGTGGTCTAAACCATAGAGCCTAGGGCTTGCCAATCGGAAGGTCGGCAGTTTGAATCCCCGTGACGGGGTTAGCTCCCATTGTTCAATCCCAGCTCCTGCCCACTTAGCAGTTCAAAAGCACGTCAAGTGCAAGTAGAAGATAAATAGGTACCGCTCCAGTGGAAAGGTAAATGACGTTTCCATGCGCTGCTCTGGTTCGCCAGAAGCCGCTTAGTCATCCTGGCCACAAGACTTGGAAGCTATCTGCGGACAAATGCTGGCTCCCTCAGCCTATAGAGCGAGATGAGCATGCAGCCTCAGAGTCGTCCGTGACTGGACCTAACCATGACTGGACCTAATGGCATAGCTGTCAACTTGCAGATTTGAAAATAAGGGACCAGCAGCCTTGAAAATAAGGGACCTGCAGCCTCACCTGTTCCAGGCACTCCAGTCTTCCT